AAGAGCGGGGAGGGGGGCGTGCTCTTGGCGAGGGGTGGGGAGAGGGTCTGAGGCACACAGCTTCACACGTGACTCAGATCCACCTTGCTGTCCTTTATGCCTATCAGCTCGTGCACCATGGCCTGGGGAGGAAAAGAGCGGGAGGGGGGCGTGCTCTTGGCGAGGGGTGGGGAGAGGGTCTGAGGCACACAGCTTCACACGTGACTCAGATCCACCTTGCTGTCCTTTATGCCTATCAGCTCGTGCACGATGCCCTGGGGAGGAAAAGAGCGGGAGGGGGGCGTGCTCTTGGCGAGGGGTGGGGAGAGGGTCTGAGGCACACAGCTTCACACGTGACTCAGATCCACCTTGCTGTCCTTTATGCCTATCAGCTCGTGCACGATGCCCTGGGGAGGAAAAGAGCGGGAGGGGGGCGTGCTCTTGGCGAGGGGTGGGGAGAGGGTCTGAGGCACACAGCTTCACACGTGACTCAGATCCACCTTGCTGTCCTTTATGCCTATCAGCTCGTGCACCATGGCCTGGGGAGGAAAAGAGCGGGGAGGGGCAGGGGGCGGAGAGGAGCAGGAGTGCAGAGCAAGGAGAAGAAGTGAGGGGAATCTCTGTGCCTCAGTCACTCTCGTTGCCCACGTCACTCAAGTCCACCTTGCTGTCCTTTATGCCTATCAGCTCGTGCACCATGGCCTGGGTAGGGGGGGAAGAGGGAACGGGGAGGGGAGGGCGGGGAGAGGAAGTGACAACGTTATCCAGGCTGCCAGTTAAGTCGTGGCCTTGTTACAATCCCAGGCACTGTCGAAGGAGACAGGTGGGCTGCGAAGGCCTTGCTGTATTAGGACAACGAGACAAACTCCATGAGAGAATGGTGGAAAAAGCAAGAGTAACGGGGAGACTGGGTCGTCCCGACTACCCACCACCACCAGCAGCGACAACGGCAGGGCATGTGTATGTGAGTATGTGGTAACCAGCTCATACCATCCGTCATCAAGCCATAAACACCGCCAAGCATACCTGGTACGTCCACTGGGTGAGCAACGGGGAAACTGGGTCGTCCCGCCTATCAACCACCAGCAGCAGCGGCAGAGCGTCCGTGCGCCTGAAATCAAACAGAGGCTTCTCTGCCTCGTACATGATGCGCTGGGGATGGGAGAAGTAGGGGGGAAGAGGTGGGGGAAACGGAAGGAAGTGGGGATAAGGGGGTACGACACCAGCAGCAGCGGCAGAGCGTCCGTACGCCTGAAATCAAACAGAGGCTTCTCTGCCTCGTACATGATGCGCTGGGGATGGGAGATAGGGTGGGGACCGTGGGGTGGGTTGGACATGGGTGGGTGGCGGTTGGAAGGAGTATAACGACACGTGACAGGGATGAGAAGCGGCAGGGCGTCAGTGCGCCTGAAGTCAAATAGGGGCTCCTCTGCCTCGTACATGATGCGCTGTGGAGGGGAGAAGTAGGGGGGAAGAGGTGGGGGAAACGGAAGGAAGTGGGGATAAGGGGGTACGACACCAGCAGCAGTGGCAGAGCGTCCGTGCGTCTGAATTCAAAGAGGGGCTTCTCCGCCTCGTACATGATGCACTGTGGAGGGGAGAAGGGGGGAAGGGGTGGGGGACGCACATGAGTGAGGGGGGCGGGAGGGCGAGCATAAGGAACAGCAGTGGCAGGGCGTCCGTGTGGCTGAAGTCAAAAAGTGAATGCCCAATCAGACCCTGGAAGCGGATGGATGGGCGTTCCTTCAAGCTCAGGCAGAGCTCCAGCAGGGCGTCCACTGAGCGGTCATGTGGGAGGTGCACTGAGAGATCCTGTGGGTGATCTACCGAGAGCTCGGCCACCCTCTGGTGATCTACCGAGAGCTCGGCCACCCTCTGCGTGTTGTGCAGGTCGACCGTGGCTGCAACGGGCGTCCAATGAGACCCTCCCATGCTCTCTCCCTCCCATGCTCTCTCCCTCCCATGCTCTCTCCCTCCCATGCTCTCTCCCTCCCATGCTCTCTCCCTCCCATGCTCTCTCCCTCCCATGCTCTGCTCTCTCCCTCCCATGCTCTCTCCCTCCCATGCCCACTCACCCCTGTTTCATGTGCCACCCGTCTCGCAAGCTCCGATCCCCGCTGAAACCGGATGGAAGGGCGCTTTTTCAAGCTCAGGCAGAGGGCTAACAATGCGTCCACTGATCGTTCGGCCACCCTCTGCGTGTTGTGCAGGTCGACAGTTGCTGAGACGAAGGAGTAGACGTTGAGAGGCACGTGCAGTGTGAAGTGATAGGCGTCTAGGGCGAAGAAATCCAAATAGTACTCCTGAAAAGAGGAGAGAGGGAAGGGGGGGGGAGAAGGGAGAGGGAGAGAGGGTGGTTCAGTGTTTGCCTCTCTACCTCTCACCTGCACTTGCAACCTCTCTACCTCTCACCTGCACTTGCAACCTCTCTACCTCTCACCTGCACTTGCAACCTCTCTACCTCTCACCTGCACTTGCAACCTCTCTACCTCTCACCTGCACTTGCAACCTCTCTACCTCTCACCTGCACTTGCACCACTGCCGCTCGGGCCTATGTGTGTTTGTTTGGCATCTAATGCATTGCACCCATTCTGCCTCGTACCCGCCTTACAGCCCTTCTGTCTTTCACCTGCACTTGCACCATTCTCCGGGTTACCTGTACTTGAAGTTCAAAAGCCTCTCACCTGTACTTGCACCACTGCCTCTTGGGCGTCCGCGTCAGCAAGAACGTGGATGAGTGTGTTGTTGAGAATGTTGGTGAAGACTGAAGGGCGGGAATGGGAGGGGAAGTGGGGGGGGAGACCGACGGTTTTGAGTCTACTCAGTAGGCGTCCGCGTCAGCAACAATGTGGATGAGTGTGTTGTTGAGAATGTTGGTGAAGACTGAAGGAGAAGAGGGATGGGGAGGAAGTAGTGGGGAGAGAGCTTTTGAGTTGACCCAGTGGGCATCGGCATCAGGAAGAGATGAGCGTGCTGTTTAGGATGTTAGAGAAGACCGATGGAAGGGAATGACTGGCAAGAGCAAAGGGAAGGTAGAGGGGCTTCCCCTGACTGGAGTAAATCCACAAACCAAGTGGCACCTTGAGTGTGCTCAGTGCACGGACGCATTCCTATCCCACTGCGTCAATCCCACTGCTGTTATCCCACTACCCACCCACCTCGCTATACTCACACAGATGGTACTCCCCGAATCTGGGATTCCTGAGGTGCCACTTTAAGTGGTTTGCATTCTCCCCGGTCGGCCTCAGGATGCACACGGCTTTAAGATGTGGCATAGGCTCCGCTCCGCTCCCCCCTGTCTCGCCCCTACTGCCACCGCCGCCGCTGCTACCGCTGCCGCTGCCTCCTTTAGAGTCAACCTTCTCTACAAGCACCACGTCGCGGTGTAGAATCTCGGATTGCGTTAAAACGAGGCTGACTATAGGCAGCTGAAGATGGACGGTCAGGATTGCAGGTAAAACGGGGACGGGGACGGTGAAGGGGAAATAGGAAAAGGGGGGAGGAGAGAAGGTGGAGATGGGGGTGGAGAGGGTGTGGAAAACGGTTGGGGAAGGAGGTGAGAGGTGTATGGGAAAGGGAAGGCGGCGAGGGAGGGGGAGGGGAGTGAGGAGGCCACGGGAGAGAAGTGAGGGGAAGGGAGGTAGAAGAAGAGAAGAAGGGCAGAAGGCGGAAAGATGTGGAGGTTGTCAATATCGGGGATACGCGTGAGAAACAGCCATCAGGCGACGAGTATGAAGGCGGAGCTCAACGTTTCACAGCAGTCGGACAGACGCGTAAGTGAAGACGATTGAAGTCGACTCAAAGGAGCACAGATTGACATCACCTACCGTTTCTGCGTCGAGAATCAAGACTTTAGGGCCGCTGACGTCGTTGAGAATCTTGTTGACGTAATCACGAACCGCAGCTATCAGCACCATATTGGCTGCTTCGCGCGATCAGCTTATAACGAATAGTTGCTGTACGACTTGAAACTGGTCTACGCACGGAGATCGTTTTGTGGGAATCGTGTATGTAACGGTTATGTTTTCTCAGCGAACGAGTGCCCTGGCCGTCAGAAGCACGTTGCTTACGAAGATTCGATATCCTGGGGTCAAAGACTGTCTAGTGAAGAAGTACGAGCATCTAACAACGTTACACTTGCTAGTAAACGGTCAAACGGTCGATTACCGAAGCGCGTCGGCGGATGTCGAGCAAATCGGCCAGGACAATACCAAAATTCGTCTCTAGATGTCGTCGCGACGAAGACACTAGTACGTCAGCGTATAAGCGTCTGAGCAACACTGGAACAGCGGGAGCAATGAAACAGTCTCAGATGTCACAGCACCAGACTCATCAGTTTCCAAAGCGAATTCTACTATCTAGGCTCATCAGTTTCGGAAGTCCCTAGATTCTTGAAACATCGAGGTTCTTGAGAGCGTGCTTATGAACACACTTGACGGACCCTGAACTCTCAATCTGTAAGTGTCTAGTGAAATAAGCAGGTACATTTTCGGTTCACAAGGATCCGCACCAAGCGAGAGTGATATTGGTGGAATAAATTTCGTACCTGAGATTGTTAAAACAAGCTCGAGATTCAAAGCGTAGCGAAAGTGCTTGGAACGGTGGAGTGGCGGAAAACGAACGCGGGAAGTTCGTCTGACACAACATATACCTTTTGAAGGCGGATTCGAGTATAGAATGATTTTACAGACAGTACTACTGTACAGACGGAACTCTAAACTTCTATTCCGGCTATTTCGAACTCCCACCATGCCTGACATAAACGCTGCATCTCGCCGCAACGCGCCTTACACGTACCCTGCGATGCAACTCACCATTGTATCGCGTGCATAGCCTCGTCACTCGGCTGCACTTCCACGTGTCATTCAGCAGGCATTCCCGGCCAACACGCTCAGAACCGAGCCTGGTACATACTTGGCACCAAGCCCAGTTCCAGGCCTAGCACCAAGCCTAGCACCGAACCTACCACCCAGCTTTGACCCAATCCATCACTGCACGTTCGCGCCCGTTGGCCCGCCGCCATGATCGCACCACGGATCGCGTCACGCGCGGCTCGGCGGGTGTTAGGTTCAAGTATCATACCTCGCACTGCTCCGTCAGCATCCGATTTGGCTGACATGTTTGACGTGTCTCGCGTGGCGCCATCAGCAGCAGATCTAGCTGACGTGGCCGACGCATCTCGGGTGGCTGACGTGTCTCGCATGGCGCCGTCAGCTGCAGATCTGGCTGGCGTACGGCGGATTTCTACTTACCGTGCGTGTTCGTCCGCCTTACTGGCTTCTCCGGTACCTGTAGCCCCGAACCTACCGTCTCCATGGACGAGCCCGTTGACTCGGTTGACTCAGACACGCGGGTCGCAGTTCGCGTCAGGGTTCTCCATGCCGCAGCCGAAGCGCCTCGAGGAGATCATGTCGGTGGACGCGCTGCGAGCATGCGAGGCCGACGAGGTCGCCGCCATGTGGAACAACGTACGGCGCACACGGAACTCGTTATAAGTATCGCCTGTAAAGAATTCGCGTTATAAGCAGAGTCGGCTTGAAAATGTCCAGCACCATTTTGGTCGCACCCTTTTGTGCAATGGCTTGTATCTAATCATCCCTTTCTCCCCTTTTTCCCAATTTTCCTTTTTCATGACTCCATTTCTCCAACAGCACCACCTGGGTCGCACGCATGTCAGCACCGTGATTTCCGCTGCTGCTTTCGAGACGTTGCAGCACCGAGCAAAAGTGTGGTGAGTGCAGAGGCCGTTCTAAAGGGTAAGACGAGTGGGTCAACGAGGGGCGAGTGGGTCAACGAGGGGCGAGGGGTCAACGAGGGGCGAGTGGGCTAATGAAGGTTGGAAGGGATGGTTTTTGGGGAAGTGCGCGAGTGCATGCACGTACACGTGTATGTATGCACATGTGTGTTCTTTATGGAACGAGGACTTAATGCCCCCATGAACGTTGCCCATGCTATCAGCTTATCCCTGCCTTCCCATCTTTCCTCACCATCTTCCCCCCTACTCCATACCATTCCCTACTCCATTTCCCCTCCTCACGTATCCTGCTCTGTTCTTTCCCCACTGTACAGCCCTATGTTTGTGCTACCAGTGGCAGGAAGCAAGGGATTCGTCACCATGCTCGCACAAGTTACTGCCATCACACCATGTCGGACTCGAGCCTCACCATTCCCCTCTCCTCCCCACTCCCCTCTCCTCCCCACTCCCCTCTCCTCCCCACTCCCCTCTCCTCCCCACTCCCCTCTCCTCCCCACTCCCCTCTCCTCCCCACTCCCCTCTCCCCTCTCCTCCCCACTCCCCTCTCCTCCCCACTCCCCTCTCCTCCCCATTCCCCTCTCCTCCCCATTCCCCTCTCCTCCCCACTCCCCTCTCCTCCCCATTCCCCTCTCCTCCCCATTCCCCTTTCCTCCCCATTCCCCTCTCCACCCCGTCACCCTGTCCTCTCCCCCCACTGTCACAGCCCTATGTTTGTGCTACCAGTGGCAAGAAGCAAGGGATTTGTCACCATGCTCGCACAAGGTGAGGCCCTCACAACATGAGCTGACTTATGAAATGACTCAAAAGTCAGGCCTTCATAACATGTCGGTTTGCATCTTGCCTCGTCCCTTTCTTTTCTCTGGCGCTCCTCTCTCACCTCTCTGTAGCTTCTCTCATTCATTTCTTTGGAATTCCCCTTTTCTTTGCCCGAAACTTTCTACAGTCACATGTGACATTCACATAAAACTCTTACCCTCTTCTCCCGTGTGTTCCTCTCCTCTCCTTACAAGAACAGTGTGAGCCCCTCCGCTGCACTTTACCCTCCTATACAATCACACTCCGTATAGTAGCACAACTCCCTCCCCGCCCCTCTCACGTTCCCCTCGTTGTAGTCATCGCTCAGATGCCCCGCCTCTTATTCGCCAGTTTGGAGGACTAAAAGCTTTGCGGCACCTCTGCAGCACCCTCCTTTACAGTCACACACTCCCACATTATGGTCATTCCTAATCACTCTTATCCGCTTCATCCCTATCCCCTTCATTATAATCACAGCTCAGATGCCCCACCTCTTATTCACTGGCTTGGAGGACTTCAAGGTCCGAGGCCCCTCTGCAGCGCCATTCTTTACAGTCTCACACTACCCCGACCTAGCAGCTGAGAAAGGGGTGGTTCTGGTTCGGGGAGACGTGGTCCTTCCAAATAAGATGAATGATGATGAGGTGAGAAGGCAACACAGTCGGATGCTACGAACTACGAGCACTTTTTAGGTGCCTAAAAAAATGTCAGGGAGGGAGCAATGGTTGAATTGCAGGTGAGTGAGAAAGGGGTGGTTTTGGCCCTGGGAGAGGTGGTTCTGCCGAGCAAGCTTAATGGCGATGAGGTGAGGATAGTGTAGGGTGTTACAAGCTATCTGTGGAGTAGACTCAGTATGCAAGTGCACATAGCTAACTGTGGAGAAAGGGGTGGTTTTGGTCCTGGGAGAGGTGGTTCTGCCGAGCAAGCTTAATGGCGATGAGGTGAGAATAGTGTAGGGTGTTACAAGCTATCTGTGGAGTTGACTCAGTATGCAAGTGCACATAGCTAACTGCGGAGAAAGGGGTGGTTTTGGTCCTGGGAGAGGTGGTTCTGCTGAGCAAGCTTAATGATGATGAGGTGAATACGCTGGGGTGTTATACATATTTACTGCACACACACACGCACACACACACACACACACACACACACAAACACACACACACACACACACACACACACACACACACACACACACACACACACGCGCGCGCGCATTTAGTGTACATGCATACATATTTACTAGAGGCTTGACAGCAACCCTTGGTTTTCTTTGTTCCAGGCTCGGACACTTCTAAGAGATCTGCACTCTTTTTACACTGAGGACTCGCGCTACCGCCATGTAGAAGCTTTCAATAAGCGACCTGATGAGTTTGATTATCGTGCTGTTGTCAGGGCACTAGGAATTGTTGCTGCAGGCTGGTAGCGAGCATTACAAAATTTTCGCTTTGTAGAAGCATTCAGTAAATTTCCAAGTAATGAACTTGCTTGTCGTGCTGTTGTTAGGGCGGGTCCGACTTTGCACATGTACGATAAATTTTCAGCTCAGTAACCACATTTAGGCATGTAACAGAACTACGGTACAAGCGAACCAGAATCCACTTGACGCGAAACTGTACATATACCGTATTCTCCCGGACATAACACCCTAGGGTATAGCTAAAAATACAGGGAAAAAATGGGGGGGTCTCCTCATAGGAAAAAAATACATAATACCCGCCGGGTCTTTACATATGGCATATTTTAGTGATAGTGTTTTTTTAATTAGTCAATGTGGGTGTTTTGCTGGTCGTTTTAGCATCACTGCCTGAGGTGCGAATGTCAGTTTCGGTCTCGAACTTCATCGCCCTCACGAAAATGCCATGTGACACCTCTCTTGCCACTTGCAACGGAAGATTCACCTGCACGTGGCAACAGAGAAATAGTGGGAGGGGGCAAATCTCGGCAGATTGCCTTTGAATGTACCGCGAAATTTCATTGAGGGAGAAATTCACACGATATTCTTCCGTATTGCAGCTACTCGTTAACGACTATAATAATGAATCCGTAAGAAAAGGGGGGTGTTATAGAAAATCAGCCAAAAAGGGGGGTACCGTAATACCCCGGATAGAAGCGCACCTGCGCTTATAATAAAACATTGTTTTTTGGGGGGGTGCGCTTATAATTGAGTCAGATTTATAAGCGCATGCGCTTATAAAATGACAATTACAGAAATGTGTTTTAAATTCACCAAAAATGACATTTTTTGAAAGTGTGAAACACTTTCTAAAAATAAAGATTGTGAAAGCGCAGCTGACTGTAGTGAAGCAAGGCAACTGGGAATGCCTCTTCCCGAGTACATAACGAGGGTTGGAGGCCATTTGGCCTCCATCCACGTCTTCATTTCGGAACTTTTCAGTTCTGCTTCATTCTCGTCCAACCACTTCCGTTCTCAATTTTTCTTAATTCTCACTCTAGAAGCACAGAGGCAACGCTAGGACAAGTGCTGCAGCAGCGTAGTTATACATTAGCTACTGCGTGCGTCAACTGCGGAGGGTACAGCATTGCGCCCGCGATGCACTTGGCGTACGCGCAACTGAGAAAGAAGTGCGCATGAAGCAACGGCCACTGGCGCATCAGTGACGAAATCGCCACGTGCGCCAGTGGCGTGCGCTAGTGACGAAATCGTCACTTGCGCCAATGGCGCGCGTGTCTGGCGAAATCGCCACTTGCGCCACTGGCGCGCGTGTGTGGCGAAATCGCCACGTGGGCCACTGGCGCGCGCGTGTGGCAAAATCGCCACTTGCGCCACTGGCGCGAGGGTGTGGCGAAATCGCCACTTGCGCCAGTGGCGCGCGTCTGTGGCGAAATGGCCATTTTGTCAGAATGAGGAATGAATGTGCCATTGATGTTGGTTGGGGTACATATGACAAACCCTAACTTCTGTACCCCCTAAGACAAACCTCACTACAGGCTACAACATTTGACACACCCCCATAGCCTAAGTGAGGGGTGTCTAGCAAAAAAAAAAAAAAAAAAGAGTACGGTCACAAGACCAGTCCAAAAGAAAACAAAGCTCAGGGTGGATCACAACGTCACCACACACTCTGAGCACAAGCAACAGTGGCCACAAGGCCAGTCCAAGAGATCACAAGTATATATAGTAAGTGTACAGACGAAGCAGGCAATAAACTCAAGTCTACGCATGACTAGAACCTGTGTCAACAAGGCCTAACTGCACACAACACCTCTGGTGGTCACAAGGCGGAAGCGCCTTGGTGAAGATGTCTGCAGTGTTGGCCTCGGACTCTACAAACTCGAAGCGAGCCTGTCCACGCCTCTGCAACTCTCGCAGAAGAAAGTACCTGACGTGAATGTGCTTCACTCTGCTCTCCAGTCGCGGCTCACGACAGAGGAGGATCGACGCCTTGTTGTCAGTAAACAAGGTCGGTGCAGAGCTCGGCCGCTCACCAAGGTCGGCGAGCAAGAAGGTCAACCACCGCAACTCCTGTGCCGCCATGGCACCAGCGTAAATCTCAGCCTCAGCTGTAGAGGTCGAGACAGAAGAGGAGCGCGTGGAACGCCAGGAAACAGCTCCAGAACCCAGACTGAAACAGTACCCCTGAGTAGACCTGTGAGTCTCAGCGTCGTCAGCGTAAGAGGAGTCACAGTGACCAGTGAGTACGACAGACTGCTGCCCTCCAAGAACTAGCCCCACGCCTGATGTAGTCGCTAGGTACTTCGCCACCCTCACAGCTGCCGTCCAGTGAACAGGACGGTGTCTCCCTGGCGCAACAAAGCGCGCAAGGATGCTGAGAGGGAAGGCGAGGTCCGGGCGAGTACAAGTCATCAGGTACATGAGGCAACCAACAAGCTCTGCGTAGGGACCACTAGGCTCAAACGGCTCGTCAGGAAAGGGACCAGTGAGTCTGTGGTCAACAGCGAGAGGTGTGCGCTGTACGGTGGAGTGCTGAAGCCCGAACCGCTGAAGGACCTGCTGCACCATGTGTGACTGTGAGAGTGTAATGGTGCGAGCGGCTCTGTCCCTGGTGATCTGCAGGCCAAGGTAGTGGCGCAGCTCACCAAGATCAGTGCACGTGTGTCTCTTCTGCAGTTCGGACTTCACGTCTGCCAAAGCAACCCTGTCCGGAGTGGCGAAAACGAGGTCGTCGACGTAGACCAGGACAAAGAACGGTGTGGAGCCACGACGAACGAACAGCGACGGGTCGGCAGAAGACGGCTGGAACCCAAGGTCAGAGAGGGTAGAACGCAGAGTGTCGTGCCACTCACGAGGGGCCTGGCGAAGACCGTAAACAGGTCGCCTCAGCCTCCACTGGGTCCCAGGAGGGAAAGTGCCAGTGAAGGCCGAGGGACGACGTAACCAGACCTCCTCGTGTAGGCTGCCCTGAAGGAAAGCAGTGGAGAAGTCGAGAGAGTGTAACTCGTAGTCTCTCTGTGCTGCTACGTGTAGTAACACCCGAAGAGTGGTCATCTTCGGGGTAGGTGCGAAGGTCTGAAAGAAGTCAACTCCCTCGCGCTGACTGAAACCTCTAGCCACGTAGCGCGCCTTGAAGACCGGGGGAGATCCCGGTGGCCGCTTCACCCTGTAGATCCACATGCCGTCGACTACGTTCGCCCCAGGGGGGGGAACCTCATCGACGTAGGTGCCTGTGGATCTGTAGGAGGCCATCTCTGCGTCCATGGCAGCTCTCCACTGAGAGGCCCAAGGCCCTGACACTGCCTCAGCGTAAGTGCGAGGAGTCGGAATGTCAAGGGCGTCGGGGTCACCCTCAGGGGCGAGGAGCATGGCACAGAGATGAGGGGAAGCGGCCGCCAGGAACTCTAGCTCAAACTGCCTGTCCTCTAGGGCGTCACAGCCAAGGGCAGACACACCCCCGACGGCCAGAGGACTGGTAGGAGGAGCAGCCACAAGCGTGGTGGCGTAGTCAAGGCGGCGGGTAGAGGCAAAGTCAGTAATCGCGGCAGTAAGAGCGGACACAGAGGACACAGAGACACGAGGGTGAGTAACAAGAGAGGCGAGAACACGAGAGAGAACAGGACGGTACATGCGGTAGTAGTCAGTGACAGGAGTAGGGAGCGACACAGTGAGGGCCGACTCAGGAGGAGACGGAAGCACAGACTGAGACGGACGAGGTGGACTAGAAAGAAGGAAGGCAGTACGAAGGTCAGTGAAGGGAACAGGAGACGAGGGACGAGCACGAGGGGAGCGACGAGTAGCCCAAGAACGAGACGGAGGAGAAGAGGACAAGGGCGGAGAACTGGGGAAAACAGCGGGGGAGGAGTCAGGAGGAGGAAACGTGGGACCGTAGACAGGAGGAGAGGCGGAGGAGGGAGGAGAAGGGGAGGGGAGACCAAGGATCCGAAGAC